GGGAACTTCACCTTCTCATTAAGTAGAGCTGTTCACTGCAGGACAGACTCGTCGGTTTCGTTCTTTCCGCTCTGGGCCTGGAGCTATTGAATATTCTCCTCCTCCTCCTCCTCCTCCTCCTCCTCATTCTTTCTTCTCCTGGAAGTTTGCTTCCTTCTGAGGAAGGTAAAGAGATGGCAGCATAGCCAGCTTGGGTGGGTTCTTGCCTGTTCATTCTTCTATTGAGTCGGGTACCGTCCGACGCCTTGATGCGATTTTAGCTTGTCACCTCCTCGGTCTTGAAGGTCGGGGGTTGTTTGACGGCTTTGCTTCGACTGTGAGTAGATACGTTTCGTCTGTACCGTTGCTTCTTCTACTGCGCTGCTTCTTCTACTGCTCTGGTTTTTCTACTGCTCTGCTTCTTCAACACCCCCGCTTCTTCATCTCAACATCTCACCTCCGAAAACAAAACGACGAACAGCCTCGTCTTATCCAAACACATCACTGCGCTGACGTATTCACCAAGACACTTGCTCGGTCCTCCATTTCAAAGTTACCGTTTGATGAAGTGTTTTTCTCGAAATCAGATCCTCACTTTTGACAGCCTCTCTGACTGGAGCGTTCAGTTGCCCACCCATATTCGCATCGAGCATCAACCTCAAGCCACCAACTCAAGATGTCAGCTCGCGGTTCCTCAGGAGAGCCCCCGTTCAAGCGCCAGAAGACCCGTGATCAAAACGTCCTGTTGAAAGACCTGCCTGCCGATGACTTTCTCAGGTAAGCCAGACGGACTCCTGTCCCAAGAATATCGCAGTGACACCACATAGGCAGATCCAGCTGTTCCAGGGTCCGCAGGTTAGCATTGTCATCGCGGAGAGAGACTTCAAACTACCCAAAGCGCTTGCTTGCTACTCCTCTCCCTACTTCAACGCAGCCTTCAACAGCAACTTCAAGGAGGGCGAGGAGCAGAAGCTGACACTCACCGATTGTTCGCCCGAGACCTTCAGCCTGGTCGTCCAGTGGATGTACCAATCCCACATCGTCGTGCCCACCGCCCACCATCGACCGGTGAAACCTGCCACCGGCAACGCCCCCAGCGGCAGCGGCAGCGGCAGCGTCGCCCACAACGAAGCCGCGATCAGAAGCCCCACCGCGTCCCGCCAGAGCACGGTCGCCGCCGAGGACACCGACCTGCGCTGGGCGGAGGAGGAGAAGCTCGAGATGGAGTTCTACCCCAACCTCGCGCGGAACCACGGCGCGCAGGCCGTCTCCCGGCTGCTCGCCTTCCTCCAGCTCGCCGACCGCATCGACCTCCTCGGCCCCTTCGACTCGGTCATCGCCACGCTCCGGGAGACCCTGGCGCACTCGGGCGGGGGCAGCCGCTGGGGCTGGACCCGCACCGCGCTGCTGCCGGGCCACGTCCGTCTCGCCGCCGCCCTGCCGGCCAGCCACCCGATCCGCCGGCTGCTCGCCGACGCCTGCTACCGCGAGTTCGTGCTCGACCTCTTCGGCCACGTCCGGCAGCAGGGCCCGGCCCGGCCCTTCCGCTTCGTCCGGGAGGTCCGCGACCTCGATTCCTTCGGCGCGGACCTGCTCCGCGCGTACATGCAGCGGCAGGTGGGCAAGAAGAGGGTCCTGAACGCCAAGACGAAGGAGGCCGAGTGGGTGTTTACGGATCCGCTCACGGAGAAGGATTTCCGGGTTGTGGTTTAGGGTGGCGACACGGGATAGGATTGGCTTTTCTCCTTTTTCATTCTCGCATTGGAGATTTCTTCCAATGGTTTGGGGGGGTGGAGGGAGGCGGAGGCGGAGGCGGGTTTCTCTTTCAAAGTTACCAGATCTCCTCAGGACTTTTCCAGTCTCGGGCGTCTCTCTCTCAAGGGATCCATCCATCCACCCATCCATCGACCCATCCCTCATCCTCCATCTATCCAACCAACCCCCCCTTTTTTCTTCCTCCAGGGGAAAAGCATCTTCATTCAGCGAATGGTCTCAAAAGCAATTTAATCACCAGTTATCGATCTGCTTCAAACGCGTTTCTTGTATACATGCATCCACACATCCATACATACATACATACGTTATCTACAAACTTCCAGTCTAGCCTTTCTAGGTTCTGAAGCTCGAGTAATATAGCAAGTAATTAAGTAGCCTTGAAGCGGTGTATGCACTTTGGAATCACCTTCATCGGCTATTGCATTGCAACGTAGAGTGTAGTACTAGCGCAGAGGTAGGGAGGGAGTGTACTTGGGGGAGGGCGGTGGGTACTAACTAATTACCTACCTAGCTACGGCGCGCTGGTTTTACTTTGTTGGTGCTTTGCTTTAGGTACTTTGGAAGTGGGAGTTGAAGGTGCTAGGCGGGTGTTTGTGGATATGTATGTATGTATGTATGTATGTGTGGAAGTGATAATGCGGAATTGTCGCATACATACATATATATATATACATATATCTAAAAGTATGGTATTCGTAGTACGTATCAACAGGTATATATATATATATATATATATATATATGTATACACTTCACCTGGGTACCAATCAATCCATCTCATCTACTCCGCCATTTATCAATCTATTCTTCTATCCATCCATCCCTCGAGTGTGACCCCTTCCCCTCCCTTGTCGCTAATAGTAGAGTAGGTAGGTGGATACCTACGTACGGAGTAGATCGCGAAGCGAGAAGCGAGAAGCGGAAGAAAACAAACAAGAAAAACCCCCCCTCCCCACCCCCCCCAACCTCTCACCCTTCAAAAAAAGGACAACTTCTATATTCATCTACATCTCACGTACCTTATCAAGCACTGACTACCCCATCCTACACAGCCAGAGAAGTCCGAAGCAAGCCAAACACACAGCGATACCAACACGCGCCTTCCAAAAACGACAATATCCACAAGGGGGGGGGGGGGGGGTTTTTCTTCTTCTTTTCTTTTTCCTTTACTACCTACCCAGCGAGCTACCGCGACAAGAAAAAACGAGAACGAACAAGCTGTACATGCGTTGGAGCTTCTTCTTCTTGTTCTACTGTGTTCATCTGGATAATCGGCGGCTACTACTGCTACTACTACTACTACTACTGCTACTACTTCCTTATCTATTCTCTACATTGGAAGATCTCCTCCCTCCATTTGCCGAACAACCTAATCGGTTACTCTACAACTACCACCACTACCGTACAACCACCACAATCCCCCCTCACCCATAACACTCGCTACTACTCTACGGTACATACCACCACGTACCTTAGGTAAATACTCCCCTCCATCGGCGATCGCACACACACACACACACACACACACACATGCACACGCGCTTACCACGGTAGTCATCTACTATACTAAACTACCGGTATACTTACTATACATAGCATCAAATCCACCAAACCTCCACAAGGGATACTGTACTGTATATACCTTATCTATTTTTAAACCCCCTCCCCACCTCCCCACCTCCCCCCCTCCCCACCTCCCCACCTCCCCACCTCCCCACCTCCCCACCCATCCCCCCCCCTCTCCCGCCCAACCAACAAATCACACCCCCCTTCCCTCCGTATACATACAGTACAGCACGTACAGTACAGTAGAGATCCAAAACGCCGGCCAGCGCTTAATCGCCTTCCCCCTTCCCCCTTCCCCCCCCACTTTCACTTACCACCTCCACGGAACTGACTCCTTACTCCTGACTCCTTACTCCGTGCATACATACTACGTACATACAGCATCTCCCCATCTATAAATATCTCACCCATCCAACCCACCAACCAACCCACCAACCCAACCATCATCCCC